GTTGCGACTTATATCCTTCGGATTCCAGGAAATTCTTGGAGTTCACGCCCTGGTCGAACCATACTTTCTTCCGCTCGTAAGTGTTATTTTGGAGGGACTATGGCGATGCTCATTTCCGTACAGTTTTATCACCCTACCTTTCCTGGCTCGTGATCGTAAAGCCGTTGAGGTCGTCCAGATCATTCTAGAGAGTGTGCTCCTTCGTCGAGAGAAGGATATGCTTGATTCAGATGGCAAGAAGATCGTCGAGCTTCCGTCCAAGGAGGTGCGCCACAGTTGATCATTCAGATACATGCCGCTCACGAGAAGGGTTAGATCAAGACTGAAATTCTGGAGTTTTCGCCGCTGGAGCGCAAGATCTACGACTCGTTGTACACCGACGCGAAAAAGGACTTCGAGAACTTGAACGCGAAGGGTCTCGTCAGCCGCAATTATACCCACATTCTCGCCATGCTCATGCGGTCGGTGTTGAGCGGTCAAAGTATTAGGCCTGTTGCTGACACCAAATCATCAGATTGCGCCGAGCTGTTTTGCATCCAAACCTAGTGCTGTCGCCTAACGACGGGCCCGCCCCGAAGGCGCCTGCAGGAAGCGGCGCCATCGACGTCAACGAGCTGATCAAAAGATTCGACAAAGGCGACAATGCGGCAGGGGACAGCAAGGTGTACGCTGAAGGCGTCCTCGCGAATCTCGAGCAAGAAGAGAATGCCGAATGTCCTATCTGCTTTGACGTGATGGAGACACCCACCATCCTGCCTGACTGTATGCACAAGTGGTAAGCGCTGCCTGCCGGGTGTGGTCTGTGTGATATTGATATTGCTTGCGAGTAGCTGCAAAGACTGTATCGTTGCCTTCATCGAGAGCTGTCGTGAAAAGGGCGAAGACGGGAAGTGTCCGACGTGTTTCCGAGGGCCTGTTCAGGTCCGTGTTCTTGCCTCAGCCCATGTCTCACTATCGCTCAATGCCTCTGTAGGAGAGCGACCTCTTGGAAATTGTGCGCTCGCGCAACGACAGTGGTGACAAGGCTGGGGGCCCCACACAGGCGCCGACGCAGACCGTGACGCTGCGGAGGAACGACTTCCGTTCCTCGACGAAGCTCGAGGCCCTGGTCCAAGACCTGCGTATGTGTCTCTCCTGCAGTCTGCCCATGTAGGAGCGCTCATCTCCTCCGAGGCCGGCTAAGAGACCAGGACCCGTGCTTCCGAGCAGTCGTGTTCTCTCAATTCACCTCGTTCCTAGACCTGATTCAAATCGTGCTAGAGCGAGAGGATTTAGCGTGGTATCGGTTCGATGGCTCAATGGATATCAAGAAGCGCAACGAGGCCGTGTCCGGGTTCAAGGAATCGTCTCGTGAAGCGAAAGTCCTGATCGTCAGTTTGAAGGCTGGCGGAGTAGGATTGAACGTGAGTCGTCCGTCGTATGTATCGTACCCTTCGTGCGCTAACTTGCCAAAATGTAGCTAACCAACGCGAACCATGTGTACATGGTAAGCATACTTACGCTCCTGTGCTGTGTTCTGCCTCTCACGCGGACCTAGATGGACTGTTGGTGGAATGCGGCTACGGAAAACCAAGGTGAGGCCGTCAATATCCCGTTAACTGTGCCCACTAACGACGTACTTAGCCATCGACCGTGTCCATCGTATCGGCCAAGAGAAGCCCGTCTATGTCAAGCAGTTCATCGTAAGCTTGTTGCTTGTCCCTCCGCGTAGTCCCCACCTAAAGAAAAGCACCCCCGCGCTAGATTGCCGGGACGATCGAGGGCCGCATCCTGCAGATCCAGAAGCGCAAAACTGCGATTGTCAAGGAGGCCTTCAAGGGCAAGCGCGACTCCGACCCCGAAAGCATCGAGAACCTGAAGATCATGTTCGGCGATACCGAGTCTGACGCGTGAACGGTCCGGTGCAGGATATATGAGTGATACGAAATCTGGAGGTTGCTTGATGTATGGATGATCAGGATGCGGATGCGGATGCAAATTCCATATAATAGAATATCGAATATCGAATGCTCGTCACCCACCACCCCACACCCCACACAACGCCAACGTGAACCTCGCAGACTGCAGATCCTCTTCGCTCAGGGCGACTCGCGACTTTCACTCCGTAGAAGGCGTGGATGGCAGAGGTGCGTTACGATGGAACAGTAGTTACAGCATCCACGCGGTCTCATGCATCGTGATACTACAAGGTCGGTCATACGAAATGCGCAAGGCCTTGAATGGGCGATCAAGCTCAAAACGGACTGCTCACGTACGCCATGTTGTGATTGAATCGAAATCTTCGTAGCGATTATAGTTGAGATGAAAGTATAGGAGGGGATCTTTGAGGAGAACAAATGTACGACGCCGGTGCAACGCTCGCCACAATGGTTCACGCGTGCGAGAACACACCATAGTGAAAACATCGACCACACCGTGAAGTAACCCAGCACTGCTTAGTCCATCGTGCTGCAGCCGTAATGCAAAACAAATCATGTCTGATAAGCCGTAATTTTACTTTGTATGGAGACCAGAGGACGCGAGACAATAAACACTGTAGTCAGCAAATAGTAGTGCAAAATCCGTAATGGATGTAGCCCAACAGTAGCAGATCCCTCGATCACCAGGATGAAGCGCGAAGATAAGGCGTTTGTAGTACTGCAGCAGTAGAAGGTCGTCCAGAACTGGAACTTCCGGACGCGGCTTTCTTCAATGCCTTGTTTTTCTCCCCAAGAAGACGTTTTACCCTCCACCACTTCGCCAGGAACGTCGATGGGTCCGACTTACCGTCCTCGTAGTACAAATCTGCCCCCATATATATCACACTTTCCAAGGCCGGAAACAGACGGGCCAAGAAATCCGCTACTTGGCCCGGATCCACGATCGGTGCATTGTGCACGACCATGCAGCCTCCGAGGCCAAGCGGGCTCTGCGACGGCTCAGGCATCAGGCGCGCGAGCGTCGTTGCGTCTGGAACCACTTCTGCGTTGAGGTGAAGCTGCAGGTCACGCAGGCGCGGGCAGCGGCGCGTCAACTGCACCAGATCCTCCAGAGTGATGCATCCTGCTACAGCCTCGACCGGATCCTTCTTGTAACTGGCCAGCACGAGGCTCTCGAGCTCCGGCCATGCGTTTGCTATATCGTGGAGCGCCCGGGACGCGCCCGCAAGAAACGAGCGACTTCGGATGGTGAGCAGGCGGATATGAGGAAAGGCGTAGAGCGGCTGGAGCGCATGCTCGAGATCCAGCGGGACCTCGGCGCCGTCGACCTGGAATGGGGACGTGGTGAAGAAGTCGAAAATGTTCAGGGAGTGGCGGTACGGAGAGCGTGCGAGGGTCCTGAGGCGTTTCTTGAGCGCGTGGGTTTCGGGCTCATATTCAATCAAGAACTTCAGTTCTTGTAGGCCTTGGCTTCGAATGGCGGCGAGGAACGTCGTCGTGTTCCCATCCATATATAGCGCCCCAAGCCGCAGGCAGCGGAGCGCATTGAACCACTGTCCAGCACGCGCGCCAGAAACCGCGGAGGTGGCCAGTGCGTCCATGTTCATATCTTCCGTGTGTAATTCCAGCGTCGCGAGCTTTGGGAGCGCAGCCAACGCCTCTACGCAGCTCACCGATAGATCCGAGTAGCCCTCTAACGCCTCCAGCTTCGGCATGCCGCGTAGGATTCGCGCAAACGCATCGTAGTCTGCGTCTGTCCACGGCATCTTGCCGTCGTACACAGACATCCGCAGATGCGTCAGGTTCCCGCACGCGGCCCCCACCTCCGCGAGGAGCGGCGTGACCTTGGACGGGTTCAGAACCTCTGAGAAGAGTTGTAGGCGCAGGATGGTCGGCGGGAGGAATAAATTGGGGTGGAAGGCCAGTTCGGGGTCGTGTTCTTCCCAGAAGAGCGTGTGGAGTTTCGGCATAAGTGGCTGGCCGGTGGGACGGTATGTGGCGAGCGCAGACAGGGCCTTTGAAGAGATGTCGCGGGGTCCAGGAATGTCCCAACGCGTGCGCTGTGGGCCCCTCCATTCGAAGTGCCGCACGTACTCGGCGTAATGGTCGAACCTCGTCCAGTCGAGGTTTTGAGGATGGGTGATTGTCTGTGTATGCAAACTGTTGGTTAATAAGTGAGCGGGTGTGTCTGACGTGACAGACGTACGAAGGGGAATTTGACATTCTCATCAGGTAGTAGTGACCACGCGTCAGGTGGAAGCAGCTGCAAGAGTGGTGAGAGGCTATCCAGATGCTCCCAGAGCGCGGGTGTGGACTCCTCCTGAAACGCCTTGCATGTCCGAGCGAGCGATGCCAGATATTTTTTGCGCCCAGTCGCGCGGAGCCAGCCGACGATGTTCCCGGTGATCTCGCTTATGAGAAGGCCGCGATGTGTCGCACAAGTCGAGGGGTCCATCGTTAAGCCTGCCAAGAGGCCACTGGTCAGTGATGATTCTGTGGCACCTCATAATGTACTTACTTTTCTTGGTTCGGGGATGTTAGGGCAGTTGAGAAGATGAGGTAGGCGTCCGACGACGTAGGAGAATTATATACGCCCCCCTCCCCTTTATATACGCGTGGACCCTCGAAGGGGCCAAGTGTACCATGCGCAACGCGGACAATGCTACGACCCGAAATGTACACGTGGTTGACTTACCATTGGTTGGAAGTGCTATTGCCAGCTTGTGTTGCGTCCCGTATTTCTGTCATTTAGAAATATTATCTCTGGGTTGCTTACGGTGCCAGATCAAGGTCATGTAGCTGGGTCCGTCAATGGGCATGTCAACACCGGGGCCGTGGCCCTCCGGCGACCGCAGGGCTCCGCAGTGGCCATATGCGTGGGCAAAGTTCGAGGTCAACCCAAGAGACGCTCATTCTTGGGCCAAGGTGTATGTGGGCGCTAAATATGCGCGAGGAAGCTGCAGACCTGCATCGCACGATATGTAGTTAACCACCTTCATATACAGCTTCTCCGGATCGGTTGATGACTGCAGACAGGAACAATCGAATCAGGGAACGGTTTCAGCAAAACAAAAAGGCACTTGACGAGAGTGGGATTCGAACCCACGCCCTTTCGGACCAGATATTCCAATGTGCACGTTCAAACCGCGCTACAACACCTTAGTCTGGCGCCTTAGACCGCTCGGCCATCTCGCCTTACAACTGCGAATTATGTGGCGTCCATCAGCACGGCGGTGAATATTCAGGTAAACACCAAGTTTTGTACTAACCGCCGTGTATCTTGCCTCTTCGGTGTCACCAGTACAGGATGCGGCGAACGTCGACGCAACGAAATGCCTCCTCCTATATAACGATTGTACACTAGCACTCCCCCTTCTTCACTATGCATAGCAAATGCTAACGTTGAGCCCTTTCGTGATACAGCGATAGAGGCGTAAACCTCTCATGCAAAGATCACAGCAATCGACTAACGGTCGGTATATCCGCACATTCAAGATATAGAGGGGTAACGGACGTCATACTAGTGGATATCGCCTAATAAATACATACGACGGCGCTCCAGAACAAGATAGCTGGCTCAAAACAGACAGATACAAATACACAATGTCCGTCGCCCATGCCCAGTAAGTGAGGAAACAGTAGATCAAACAATGGCCTCTCCGATGGAGAAGTGGACCTGGTCGCCCTCTGCCAGCGTAAGACGGACGGGCAGGCGCGGGTCGATGCGCACGGGGGCGCTGGAACCGACGAAGAAGTCGCCGCGCGTGAAGTTGCGCGTGATTGCAGCGGTCTCCTCCTCGGTGAGCGGTCGCGGTCGTTTCGCAGGGCGGAACGTCGAGGTTGACGCGGCCGGTGCTGCCTGCGTTGCAGGAGGGTTCGCAACGAAGTTGCTGTTGTAGTCGTAATAGTGCGGGTGCGTGAGACCCTGCATCGGCGGAGGGTACGCCATGGCAGCAGCAAACGGCGGCACTTGGGCTACAACGAGCATAAATGAGACATGCCCAACCTACGAGAATATATAGCGCGGGACATACGTGGCTGAGCCTGGTTCTGGTGATTCTGCGGATCGGCGTCGGGATCGGGGTACGTGCAACTAGCACCGAGGCCTCTCTTCAAGCAGCTCTGCAAATACGGGCGAGATCGATCAGCGTTAGCGGGGCAGCGAGGAGGATGTGGGGTGACGTGACGAACCTGGCACGGCAGAGCTTCGCTACATCTGGTTTTACCGGCGTGGCAAGCGGTGCAGGCCCGACGGACGGAGGGCGCCTTGGCTGTTTACGGAGGCGGAGGCGGTCAGGACGGGTGCGGCGACGGAGGAGCGGAGAGAGGAGACGCACGCTTGCGGGAGCCATCGGCGGACGCGGCGGAGGACGAGCCGGGGATCGGCTGCTGCTGCTGCTGCTGCTGGAGGTCGACGGGGAGTTGTTGGTTGTGTTGTTGGAGTTGTTGGGTGTCGATCGACGGAGGGGCCCCGTCCTGGGCCGGCGTAGAGGCCTCTGAGAGGGCCGACATGGAGGTGATGGGCGGTGTTTCGGAGCGGACGGGCTGGCCTCCCCCGCGTGCCCGCCTTTTGCATCCCACGCCCCGCCCCTTGCCGACCGAACGCCCGCCCCCTCCGGATTCGCCCCGGCCGTCACCCCCGAAGCGTCACGGTCACAGCACCCCTTCCGGCAATCCGGCCTTGTTTCCGGACGACGATCATGGCTGCCCCGCACTCGCACTCCCCACACGACCCCGCCAACGGTGCGCAGGGCCTGCCCCCCGCCGCCTTCGACGACTTCCAGCTCTTCAACCCCGCTAGCCATGCCGCCATGCCGCCTCCGCCCCCGCTCCCACCGTCCAATGACCTGTTCTCGGCATCGGAGACCACAGACCTCTTCGGATTCCTCGAGAACTTCGACTGGGATTTTAATCTAGAACCCCAACTCCCAGACGCTACACAGGATCCTCTGTACCACAGTCCGCTGCAAGAGACAGCGCCTCCGGGTCTTGACCAGCTCTCTCCCTCGTCCTCCCTGTTCGCTTCGCAACAAGATCATCGGCAGCAGCAACTCCTCCAACAGTATCCTCAACAGCATGTACAGCAACCCATGTACGTGCAGCCACAGCAGCAGATGGACACGAAGCCACCTATGCCCGCGCGAAGTCGCTCGCCCTCCTCGTCAGCTTCTCCCTCCTCGAGGGAGACTCCTGGCGCGAGTGCGGCCTCCCGTGTCAAGCCCCCACTATCCACACCGCAGAAACGGCTCAATCATATCATGTCTGAGCAGAAGCGGCGGAACGCTATACGAGACGGCTATCTGCAGCTGACTACGCTGCTCGCTCCGGCAGGGGCACCGCCGGGCTCAGGAATGCCGACCAGGGGGCGCCCGAAGGGCAGCGGCAGTCGGGGGCGAGGCACGAAAGGGAAGAGCGGAATTCTGTTCCGCGCAAAGGAATACATTCGCTGGCTGGAGGAGGGCCGGGACGCTCTTCGGGAAGAGGTGATGAAGGTCGAAGCCGCCGCAGGCATCCGGTAGCACTTGCTCGGCAGTGCCGTCTTACGTCGACCGCTGGTGAGTGGTTGGTGCCTTGTTCGCTGCTGGCGTGCTCGACGCTCATTTTACGGCAGTATTGCATTGTATCTTTAGGTGCTATCTTGTATACCCAACTTTCCTCCATCGAGGGCATCAACCCTGTATGTTTGGCGTACACCTAATACCATGTGTCAATAGCTTACCTTTTGCGTAGATTGCCGCTGACATTCGTCGAGGCGGGACTCGCTTGTACCTCGCTGCTGTGTATTCTACATGTCGTAACCATCGTCCTTCACACCTGAAATGGAACCAGCGCCGCGCTCACTGGAGATATACCATTGCCCTTCGCCATTGCGTCGGGGTCGTATCATCCGTGCGCCCGACAATATAACCGGTGAGCCTCGCTCGGATAGCTATTCATTGCGAGCTCCCATCTTTATTCAGTGCCTTACGAATGCCTGGAGCGCACTGAATTCTCAGGGTGCGGGTACATGATCACGACCCTTCACGCCATACCGCATATGTGTCCGCTGCTAACATACGAGTCATCAGGATTATCATGCCAAGGTTTCGTCTGCGTAATACTTCAATGGGCTGACTACACGACAGCACCCAGCACGTGAAGTGAGTACGCAGGTCCGTTCTCCATATCTGCAACACCCGCACTAACACCCGCTGTTAACAGTAGTGAAGGTTTGAGCGTTGAATGGGACGGAAGTCACGCCAAAGAGCTTCCGGCCAGGGCTTGCGCGTCGCGTCGCGTCGGCCTGTCGGATAGAGCGAGCGTCCAAGGTTGTCGGCGGAAGAAGTATCGTATCAGCGGGCGACGCACCTCGAAGAGTTGGCCCTGCGCAACATGACAACGTCCTTCACAAGTTGAACGAGTCACGACGACCCGCGTCCAGGATTAGCATTGCCAGTGCAATATCTCCCTCAGGCGAGCATGCCGCCGGCTCGTACGCGCATGATGACTGGGTGGGTACTCTCGACGCTTGCAGCTCGGTATATTTCGCGACAACACATCTTTGGAGCCTGGTATACTGCGGCGTGCATTCTTGAACGCACAACGCCCGTCCGAGTCACCAATGCAGCCGCCGTCGGCCGCCTGACCCACTGCGAGCTCCTAGCGATCTGCATGACAATCAACATCGGCGACTCTGGAGTTGCGTTTTCTCGCTGCAGGGCATATGGGCCGTCGGGCGCCGGATGTGGACGACCGCTCACCCGCCGCATGGGAAAACAACCGTGCAAGAAGGGCTAGTCCGCGTAGCCTACGTCCTGGGCTTCCCTGAGTCCCGCATCCCCGTCCCCGGCGTCGTAGACTCGTAGTCAGGCGTCGCGGGTCTCGTTGGGAACCTCTCTTGCCAGCACACCTGCGCCGCCGGCGCATGCGCCTCGTACTGCGCACGGACGCGTCGGGTGCATTTACGTTGCGCGACAGGCACCGCATCCGCCCGGCGACTCAATGGGCTCGCGTGCAGACGCTAGCTGCGCAATCGCAGCACACGAGCGCACTGGGGTTCGGGAATGCAGGAGTGGAGACATACCCGCCAGGATGCGTCGTCCGCGAGGGCAGCGATCGCCTGCGCGCATGGGCGGGTCGCTCGTGACGAACCCGCGAGCTGATCCAGGAGGAGGACAAGGTACGGTGCGACGCGCGTAGCAGTGGGGGAGGCGGGCCGGGGCCTGCGCCCGCCCATTGGCATCTATCTGCGCAGACGGTGACGATGTTGTTTCGCGGGCTCCTCCTCCGGCGGCGACGTCCATCAGCGAGGACGGGGGATGAATGGTGCGCCCGCGGCCGCTGCGCAGCGCAACCCGCGTCCGGAATCGCCGCCGCGGTGTCGTACATGTGTGTTGTCGGACTTAAGCAGGCGGTATCATCATTCGGAGTCGAGTCCCGCTACGCGGGGGGCGCAATGCTTCCTTTCGTGGGCATGTCCTGTAGATGCTGGAGTTGCCCAGGGCGACAGCGACCACCCCGACGGCGCACGAGCGTCGGGCGTACCGTAAATCGAGAGCTCGAGTTGCTGCTTCGCGAAGCTGTCGTAAGTACGCTCGACGCATGATGGAAGTAAACTCAAAGGTTCTGTCAGAGTCAAAGAAGGACAAGTGAGTCGGGGACGACGCGCGCGGGAGTGGTGCCAATGCTCATGACATACCCCGCCGACGTTCTGATTCAGACGACATGGTCAGCACGCTCAAGCCACCTCATCATGCCGGAGGGACTGACGACTGTCCAAGGCACCGCCGATGAATACTGCGCACCCTTCGGTTCCGATGCAGGCATGTGCGCCAAAACTGCGCAGATCGCCGGGAGGATGTGATTGAGTTCCCGTCGAATAAGCGTTAGCTCTCAGAGCCAGGGCGCCAACACAGGCTGAGTGGGGCCCATCTTGATCCACCCCGTGAGTACCAAGAACGCAGAACTCGGCCGGGTGCCCAGCAGCCTCCGACTTTCCGAGGCATATGTGCGGCGCCGAGTACGGCCATTGGTAGGGCGTTAAAGTGCAGCGTCGCGGATGCAGATACGGCTCCCACTACCGAGACTATCGCCGGAAACATCAGCTCGTACCACCGGGGGCCAGTTAAGTGACGCATCTAGACGTTCCAGACCGGTAGAAGGCGCGGAGGTAGCAGGAGGTGGGAAAGACACAAAGCGCTAGGATGAGCAGAGCG